TCCCGGTGACCAGAGTGACCTGTGGGACCCACAACGCGTCCTTGCTGGCAGCTTGTTCCTTGGTGTGACCCAAGCTGAAGGTTTTCCTGCTGTTTTTTCCATATTCCAGCACCCCAGGCCCCTCTTGTAGCCCTCCTGTCCCTTGGAAAGCAAGGTGTTAGATGGCCGGGGACAGTCATCCACCATCTGAACATCCATCCCTGCCTGGTTTGATGGAATGATCATATCTCCCTCTGACCCTGCTAGGAAGACCGTATTGAGTTTGAAGGGCAAAGTTTTGGTAGAGGGAGGCTTCTCTGTGAGAAGACACCAGGAGCTGCCCCGTGTCCAACAGAGCCAGCTCCAAGACGGACCCGCTGCTGGCCAAAGCTGAGCCCGTCAGCGACGGTGGTAGCGGCTCTGATAACATGTTTCAGAAGAGAGGAAAAACAACAGGCACAACTGCAGCTGAAGAGAGGAGTGAGAATAATAAGGGAGAGAAACAGCTCCGCATAGCCCAAGGTCAGTGAAGGAGGAGGGGGAGGAGGAGGTGTTCTAGGTGCCGGAGTAGAGATTCCCCTGAAGCCGGGGGTGAGAACCAGGGGGAGGCAGGCCGTGCCCCTGCAGCCCAGCGAGGTTTAATGGTGGAGCAGATCCCCGGGGGGGACCCCACGCTGGAGCTGGTGGCTGTGCCCTGTGGAGATCCTGGGCTGGAGCAGGTTCCTGGCAGAGGAGCCCACACTGGAGCAGGTCTTCTGGCAGGACCTGTGGCCCCACGGAGAGAAGCACATGCTGGAGCAGTGTGTTCCTGAAGGACTGAACCCTGTAGAAAGGACCCACGCTGGAGCAGTTCGTGAAGAACCACAGCCCGTGGGAAGGACCCACGTTGGAGAAGTTGGTGGATGACTGTCTCCCGTGGGTGGGACCCCACGCTGGAGCAGGGGAAGAGCGTGAGGAGGAAGGAGCAGCAGAGACAATGTGTTGAACTGACCACAACCCCCCATTCCCCATCCCCCTGCGCTGCTCGGGGGGAGGAGATGGAGAAATCGGGAGTGAAATTGAGGCCGGGAAGGAGGGAGGGCTGGGGGGGGAAGGCGTTTTAAGATTTGTTTTCATTTGTCATCTTCCTCTGATTTGATTGGCAATAAATGAAATTAATTTTCTCCAGGTCAAGTTGGCTTTGCCCGTGACGGTAATTGCTGAGTGATCTCTCTCCTTGCTGGGTGAGGTGGCCCTTGCCAGGCCAGCCCCTGCCCCGGGGTGCCCTCTGCTCTCCTGGCAGCAGCAGCCAGAGCTGCCGCATGACGGCCATGCAAGCGCTTTGGGTGTTGTGGCCTAAAGCCTGGGGGGTGCTATGGGTCAGGCCAGGCTCCCTGCATGAGAGCAGGGCTTAGGGCAAAGCTGGAGCATCCCAAAAACAATGCAGCTGGAGGGGAAATGAATTGAAGAAGGGGTATTCCAGCTGGAGGAGAAATTCATGGAAGCAGGGACATCCCAAAGGCGATGCAGCCGGAGAAGGAATTCGTGGAAGAAAGAGCCAGAAAGGCCTCCAGGTGCTGGAGGTTTGGTGGTTCCCTGGAGCAGAATCAGTGCAAGCCAGAGTCCTGCTCCTGCTCACCAGTTGTGGATGGGATGTGGGGCTACACTGAGGCTGAATGTGAGCTGGTTCACAGGCCTGCAGGCAGAATACCTCTCCTTGGGGTGGGAAGTGCCACCGGCTGCTGTCCCGTTGCCTTACAGAGGTCCCACGCACCCCAAAATTAGCTGGAAAGCTAGCAGAGCTCTCAGCGGCTGTCTTCTCCAACTGCAAGGGCAACACCTGGCTCCCCACGAGACTGGGGATGCTCCTCCAAGCGCTCTAGTAATCCCCAGGATGCTTGAGGGCCTGGCTTTGCTGGAGACAGCTCAGCAGCCTCGGGGCTGGGTGATGTTGAGCCGCGCAGGGAACTGGCCACGCATGGGTCTGAGAGCATCCCGGCTCGCCACGGAGGCGGGCACGCCGGTTTCTCGGCAGGGTTTGGAGATGTTCTCGGTTGGGCTTGAGGGCTTCGTCTTTGCGAAGGTGGGAAGAAAGCCCTAGGGTGTCTGGGGAGACCTGGGGCACGTTCCTCCCCAGTGCGATGGCTCCTGGTGCCCCCAGCCCTGCTCGGGAAGCAGACACCACCGCCTGTAGTTTCCCGCGGAAGGGCTGCGCTGCAGCAGGGATTTTTGGAATTGCTTAGTCTGGTCTCACTGAGGGCTGCGTTGTCCTTTTTTTGTCCCACGTCCCCACCAGCTTGGTGCCCCCGCTGAGCCTCAGCTCTGCTGTTACAGAGCACCTGTGCAGGGACCGTACAAAGATCAGATGATGCTTTTTTTTACATCCCCCTGCTCCCTTCAGCTCTTCATCTGATTTTCCAGGATTATGTTGTACGTTGCCTTCCTAGACGGCAACCTGGCACCGTCAACCCACTGTTAATTTTTCCTGCCCGGGTACGACGCTGCAGTGGTGTGAACACTCAACCAACGGCCAGGATGCTGAGCAGTTTGCACCCAGCGTTGGGTGGTATTGATTGCTTAAGAGCTCCAAAGGTGTCACCTTACTATGAAATGAGGTGAGACTGGAGTTACCGGAGGGGGATTCCTCCTGCAAGAGCATCACTGCCAGCTCTTTCCGCACGAGCATCTCCCGCCTGGGGGATGTGAGGGCATTGCTTCCTCACTGCCTGCCCTTGCCCTGCCCATGCCTGCTCATCATCCTGCCGCGGGAGGGGGCACAGCGGGTGAAAAAAGCTGCTTAGGATCTATCCCCAGGGTTTAAATTGTCCTGGGTTATTGTTGGAGGATTAGGAGGGGATTTGGTATGATTGGTTGCAGCGGGTTAAATATAGGCTGGTGTATGTTGGAGGATTGATGCTCCAGCAGGGAAGGGAGGGATGGCTGTGTGCTGGCGTGCTTTGCCCCTCTCTCCTGTGATTGCAGTGGTGGGGGGGGAAAAAAAAAAATGCCAGCACATTCTTTCTAATATCACATGCTGGCCCCCGGATGCACAGGAGACTCTGGTGGCTTGTCATGCAATTAACTTCCAGCGGCACACGTGGTCTTCGCCGGCTTCAAAGAGGGATTGAACCAGCACTGGCTGCGTGGTGTGGAGGGCAGAGGGAGCTGCTCTGCCGAGCCCCGTGGCCGGGAGGGATGAGGTCTGGGGTCTGGGTTAGGGCTGCTGGTCCCTCAGCACCTGCTTGGTCCTTCTGCAGCCCCTGGGAGCATCCTGCAGCAGCTCCCCCAGGGTGTCCCGGGGATGGTGGGTTTGGGTTGGGGGGTAGGATGCAGCCAGCAGCTTCTCTGTGTTTTAAGAAAGCGGGGACAGGCTCCTGCCTGCTAAAAAAAAAAGCTGCATTAGGAGGAACAGAGGTAGAAGACCACCCTCCGCATGCCTTCCCTAGGATGCCGGGCATCAGCATCCCCCTCCTTCCCACCGATCTCCCCCTGTGTGCTGCTGTGGGCTCCCCGCAGTTGGTTTCACCACTTGTTTCTACCCCATGTTGCCTCCAGCATCGTGTCCCAGGCTGTGTCCATGTTAAGGCAGGTCCCCAGCACCTTTCTCCAAAGGCAGGACCCAGCCTCTCCTGCTCACTGGGATGAGCTAGCTGTAGGTCTTGCCCGTGTGCTGGCACCTGTGTCTTCCCACAACCTCCTGCCACCGAAGCACCCAACATTTTCCAGGAGAGAGAGAGAGAGAGAGAGAGAGAGAGAGAGAGAGAGAGAGAGAGAAGAACTGCATTTCATTTCTCTTTCAGAAGGAGACCCACGTGTCAGGCGTCAGCTCTGTATATTATCCCCCCCGAAGCCTGCAGCTGGCTGCTGGCACAGCACAACGGGGCATACGGGCTGAGATTTATAAACGTGCTTCAGGCACAGCTGCTCTGGGCTCCCTCAGCTCCATCCATCTCCGGGGGCTGTGCGGCTGTATATCTCACTGCGCTCATCAACCCTTGCAAATGAGTTTCCTATCTCCCGAGTTTTACCTCGCTCAGATAAATGTGCTCAGCACAACGGACTCCGCTCCCGGTCAGATTATTTCTGCGGTAGTCACAGCGGTCCATGGAGGGGGCGGGGGGGGGATATCCATGAAGCTGAGTGATGCTGTGAAAGGTCCCTCCACCTCCAAGGAGAGATGCTGAGGGTCCACGTTCTTGGTGTGGGTGTGAGGCAAGCTGCTTCCCTTCTCGAATTGATGCGGAAAAGCTGAAGCCGCCGGGTTTTCTGAATGCCCAGTGTCTTTGCTCCAGTGATGGAAGGAGATGGAGCCCCTTGGGGGGTTCTCCAGGCAGAGATACGGGGCTGATGGGTGTCCCCGGGGGGTGCTGGAGCAAAGCAAAGCACGGGGGACAAGGATTGTTCCCCCAAGGTTGGTTTTCCTGCCAGGGGTGGTCGCCTGCCCGGGGATGCTGGGCTCAGGTTGCCATCTAGTGGCAATAACAGCCTTTTCTGGAGGGCCATAGGGTTCATGGCTGTGCACGGGGTGGGGGTCATAACCCTGCTGGAGGGATCTGCAGCTCCGTGTTGGGGTCCACAGCCTTGCTGGGGGCTGTCTGCATCTCCCCTGAGGGATTCCCAGCCCTCGGTCCCCAGAGATCACCTTCCCTACCCTGCCTGAGCGCACATGGAGCCAACGTGGCTCTTCACGCCTTCCCAAATCCTGCAGCCCTTTGGGGCGTGCTGGTTTTAGCATCCTTAGGAAAAGAGGGAAGAGTGCTGAGTGACTCAATGAGGAGAGGTTGGGTGGGCGCTGGCCAGAGCTGTGCCAAGAGAGGGGATGAGCTGAGGGTCTCCAACTCCCATCTTGGTGCCACTTCAGCCCGGAGCCCAGGCTCTCGAGAGTCCAAGACCCTTTGTCTCCCTTCCTCCAGCCCTAGAGCTGAATTCTTCATCCTGCCTATCTCAAGGGGTAGATCCCTCTTTGCCCTGGTGCCCAGGATAGGGCGAGACACCGTGGGGTCCCGCCTGGCACTGTCTGACCCTCTCCCCTTGCCTTACAGGCATGCTGGTGGTCAACGTCACCTGGAGGAACAAGACGTACGTGGGGACGTTGCTCGACTGCACGCAGCACGACTGGGCACCTCCCCGGTAAGTGGGGTGGGGGTGGAGGGTGTAAACCCGGCCACGTACGTCCCCTCTGGCACTCAGTACCCTCTGCCCCGTGCCCGTGGGGCTGCCCGGGGCGGTCGGCATCTCCTCCTTGCCCAACGGAGCTGCTCCAGTGGCTCGTGACCCTGTGGTCACAGTCTCCTTCGTCCCGGAGACTGGAAAGGGTTGAGCATTTGCCAGTGGACCTCCCTGGTTCCTCTTCACTGGGCAGTGGGAGCCTGCAGGATCGATAGCGAGGGGAGGAAGCGGGTCCCCACGGTGCAGCGGGGGGTGGTGTAGGCCCGGCACGGCCACCTCTCCTTTCAAACCTCCTTGTCCTTCTGGCGGCAGGTTCTGCGACTCTCCCACCAGCGACCTGGAGATGCGCAACGGCCGGGGCAGGGGCAAACGCGTGCGTCCCAACAGCAACACGCCCGTCAACGAGGCTGCCGCCGCTTCGGACAGCAAAGGGACCAGCAACAGCAGCAAGACCCGGGCAGGGGCCAACAGCAAGGGGCGCCGGGGAAGCCAGAACTCCTCGGACCACCGCACGCCGCCCGGCGGCACGGCAGAGGACGTGAAGGCCAGTCCCTCCTCCGTCACCAAGCGGAAGAGCAAACCCCTCTCCGACATGGAGCTCAACTCCAGCTCGGAGGACTCCAAGGGCAGCAAGCGCATCCGCACCAACTCGATGGGCTCGGCGGCCGCGCCGCCCGCCGCGGTCAAGGTGGAGCCGGCTGTTCTCGACCGAAACTGCCCTTCTCCCATCCTCATCGACTGTCCCCACCCGAACTGTAACAAGAAATACAAGCACATCAACGGGCTGAAGTACCACCAGGCCCACGCGCACACGGACGACGACAGCAAGCTGGAGGCGGACGTGGACAGCGAGTACGGCGAGGAGCCCTCCCTGCACGCGGACCTGGGGAGCTGCAACGGTGCCGCCGGCTCGCAGAAGGGCTCGCTCTCACCGGCTCGCTCGGCCACCCCCAAGGTGCGCTTGATGGAGCCCCACAGCCCCTCCCCATCCAGCAAATTCAGCGCCAAGGTCCCCTGCAAGAAGAAGCTGGGTGGGGAAGGAGACACCGACCCGGGTGCCCTCTCCAACGATGGCTCTGAGGACGGTCCCTCGGTGGCCGATGAGACGAGCAACGATGGCTTTGACTCTCTGGAGAAGCGATGTGTTGACAAGGACAAGTTGAAGAAGGCGTCCGGTGCTAAGCCGGAGAAGATCCCTTCCAAAAGCTTGAAGTCTGCCAGACCCATTGCGCCAGCCATCCCACCCCAGCCGATTTACACCTTCCAGACAGCCACCCTCACCACAGCCAGCCCTGGTTCCTCCACGGGCCTTGCCACCACCGTGGTCCAGACCATGTCCAACAGCCCTCAGCTTAAACCCATCCAGCCCAAGCCTACGGTGATGGGAGAGCCCTTCGCGGTCAACCCTGCCCTCACCCCTTCCAAGGAGAAGAAGAAGAAGGACAAGAAGAAGAAGGAGCCCAAGGAGGTAGAAAACCCTTTGACTCCCGGCAAAGCCTGCAGAGCGGAGGAAGGCAAGAGCCCTTTCCGGGGGGAATCCAGCGACCTGGGGATGAAAAACGAGGGGTTGCTGAACGGCTCATCTGACCCCCACCAGAGCCGGCTCGCCAGCATCAAGGCCGAGGCGGATAAAATCTACAGCTTCACCGACAACGCCCCGAGCCCCTCCATCGGCGGTGCCAGCAGGCTGGAGAACACCAACCCAGCCCAACCCATGACCCCGCTGCACGTTGTCACCCAGAACGGGGCAGAGGCGAGCTCGGTGAAGACCAACAGCCCGGCCTACTCGGATATCTCCGATGCCGGGGAGGACGGCGAGGGCAAGCTGGAGAGCGTGAAGGCGAAGGATCCGGAGCAGCTGGTCAAGGAAGGCGCCAAAAAAGCCCTTTTCCCCCCGCAACCACAGAGCAAAGAGTCTCCCTACTACCAAGGCTTTGAAACCTACTATTCCCCCGGGTACCCCCAGGCAAGCCCGGGACCCTTGAACCCCGGCAGCCAGGCCACAGCCGAGACACAGGCCTTGAAGCTGAAGAAGGACGAGGAGCAGGAGAGCCCGGAGGTGAAGGTGAAGAGTGAAGCCTGCGAAGAGAAGAAGGCAGAGCTGGGTGGCTCCAGCCAGCAGCCCTCGGTCATCCAGCAGCGTCCCAACATGTACATGCAGTCCCTCTACTACAACCAGTATGCCTACGTGCCCCCCTACGGCTACAACGAGCAGGGCTACCACGCTCACCTGCTGAGCACCAACCCTGCCTACCGCCAGCAGTACGAGGAGCAGCAGAAGCAGCGGCAGAGCCTGGAGCAGCAGCAGCAGCGGGGGCTGGAGAAGAAGGCAGAGCTGAGCTTGAAGGAGAGGGAGGCGGCGCTCAAAGAGGAGTGGAAGCAAAAACCGCCCATGCCCCCAACGCTAACCAAAGCCCCGAGCCTCACGGACCTCGTCAAGTCGGGGCTGAGCAAGGCCAAGGAGCAGGGAGGTCCTGACATGGCCAAATCCGTCATCATCCCCAAGCTGGAGGACTCATCCAAGCTGTCTGGCAGCCAGGTTGCTGAGGGGCTCAAGGTGAAGCTGAGCGAGGCCAGCCACCTCGGGAAGGAGGCTGCCGAGACGAAGGCTGGCTCCGAGTGTGGCCGGCAAGCGGAGGTGGACCCTGTGCTCTGGTACAGACAGGTAATGCCCGCCCGCTGCCCGGCAGAGGGCTTCCTCCTGGAGGAAGCCCCTCACCGTGGCTTCGCTGCAGGGGGTTTGCTGGGCCGTCCCCTCCGAGAACGGGCGGTGTCCTCTGTTGGTGATGGGACTCCACAAGGTTCCCTTGGGGCCAGCGAAAGGGTGGGGCTGGGAGGCCGCGGATGGGCCGAGGAGAGCCCAGGGAAGGGGCGTGGGGTTCGCTGGTCTCCTCCCGATCCAGCCTGGTTTGGGGGCCAGGCAGGGCCGGGGGGAGGCAGCTGCTCTGATGGTTGGCTGGTTCTTGCAGGAAGCCGAGCCCCGGATGTGGACCTACGTGTACCCAGCAAAGTACTCGGACATCAAAACAGAGGACGAGCGGTGGAAAGAGGAGAGGGACCGAAAGTTGAAGGAAGAAAGAAATCGAAGCAAAGAAGCCGCATCCAAGGAGGACGGGAAGGAGAGCACCAGCTCCGAGTGCAAACTGACCCCCACCGAGGAGGCTCGCATGGTGGGGAAGGACCCCAGACCCAGCGTCCACGTCCCCGTGTCTTCACCCCTCACGCAGCATCAGTCCTACATCCCCTACATGCACGGCTACTCCTACAGCCAGTCGTACGACCCCAACCACCCCAGCTACCGGGCCATGCCCACCGTCATGATGCAGAATTACCCAGGTAGGAAGCCGGGGTCTCCTTGGGGACATCCCCCCGCGGCTGTCCCCCCGCTGCCGGAGCGCGGACGGCTGTGGGACATCCTCTCGCAGGTGGCAGCACGTGTACGTGCCTCCACAGTGCCGCCCCGAGACTCCTCATGCCCTCACTGCTTTTTCTTCCCCCCCCCCCCCCCCCCCGCCCAGGATCATACCTCCCCTCCAGCTATTCCTTCTCCCCGTACGGGAGCAAGGCGTCCGGCAGCGACGACAGCGACAAGTCCCGAGCCAGCCCCAGCGTGAGTTGTAAATCCAGCTCGGAATCCAAGGCCCTGGACATCCTGCAGCAGCACGCCAGCCACTACAAGAGCAAATCGCCCACGGTGAGGGTCAGGCGGGCGCTGGCTTTGCCCAGCTCTGTGCCTGAGCTTCGGGACGGTCCCTGGATCTTATAACCAGCCTGGAGCAACTCTGCCTGCTGTGGGGTTTTGCCGTTTCCGTCGGGGACTCAGGGCCCACAGCACAACCCCTTTGGGCTGGATAAGCCGAGCCTGTGGGCAGGCCTGGCCCGGGGAAGCACCGGGGCTCCTCCGGGCCCTGCAGCAACCGGGTGTGACGCTTGTGGTCAGCCGTGGAGCTGGGGGGTGGGATGCGGGGGCTCCCTCCATCCCACAGCACCGTAGGGTCGTGAGCTCCTCCTGGGCCGAGCTGGGAGACGGAGCTTTGGCGCGGCGTGGGGAGACCTGCCCTCAAACAGGACCCCTATCATCCGCGCTGCTTTTGGGCTGGTCACCGGCCACCCCGGCACCTCCCCGCAGCGTCATGGCCAAAGGCTGGGGGGGGGGGGAAATCATCCCGCTGGGGCGGCCCGGAGCGCCCAGTGTGGGTGTGCAGCTGGCGGCCTCCCTCAGCACGCACCTGCTTTCTCCTCTCCAGATAAGCGAGAAGACGTCTCAGGAGCGGGACCGCAGCGGCTGCGGGGTGGTGGGAGGCAGCGGGAGCTGCGCCAGCGTCGGGGGAGCCGGCGGCGGGGAGAGGAGCGCCGACCGGCCCCGCACCTCGCCGTCGCAGCGCCTGCTCTCGACGCATCACCACCACCACCACCTCGGGTACTCGCTGCTGCCGGCGCAGTACAACCTGCCCTATGCAACAGGTGAGAGCCGACCCTCAGCCCCCCACCCCGGCGTGGGGAGCGGGGAGGAGCCGGGGCCGCCTTCGCCCGGCCTGAGCCCTCGCCCTCGGCTTTGCTTCGACTGAATCCGGCGTTTTCCAGCTCCTGACGCTGCTTCTCCTCCGCAGGTCTCTCCTCCACAGCCATCGTTGCCAGCCAGCAAGGCTCCGCTCCCTCCCTATACCCGCCTCCCCGGAGGTGAGAACGGTAAGGCTCTCCTCCTCACCCGTGGGCACCCAGGCTGGGGCAGGAGGTGGCCGGGGTGGGCGCGCTAGGGCTGCCCCTTGAGGGTTTGGGGTGCCCCCGTCACCCCGGGGCTCAGCGGGCTGCCGTTGGCGGGAGCTGACTTGCCTTCGGGTCGTGGCAGGACCGTGACGTGCCGGGACGCCTGGGCTGTACGAGACATGTGACTGGCTCACATGGGGAAGCGCTGGAGACTCCTTTAGACATCAGTTGAATGGTGTTAATTGTTCTGCTTGACGTTCCTGCCGTGATCCGAGGCAGACTCTGTCTTCTCCCCCCGCCCTCGTCGGACACACACTGACTCCCCCCTCCACACCCTCCCCTTTGGTGAGTGGGCGAGCTGGTACCTGCGGAAATATTTATTCTACTGGGCACCGGCGCTCGGGATGGAGGCGACTCACCTGCCTGGTGCATATGAAGAGGAAACGGAAGCACTGAGGTTTCTCGATGGATTTGGGACCCCGCCCACGTCTCTGCCAGCTGCTGCTTCACAGTGGGACTGGGGGCGGGCAGGGGTGCTGCCTCCTGCCCGCTCCTCGCCGGGGCCCGAAGCGCGGGGCCGAGCCTGCCGTGGCGTCGCAGTCTCAGGAAAGGAAGGGCTGGCGCAGGCAGGAGCCCCGGCGGGTGTTGGGGGGCAGGGGGGGGGGTCGGTGCAAGCCTGGGGGGGGTGGGTGTCAGCCTGGCTGGAGGCGGCCCCGGGCCCCGGGGATGTGGTGCATGCGAGGGGCACCCTCGCCGAGCGCCACGGCCGGTCCCGCAGCACCCGCCGCTCCGTGTCTGTCCGGGCAGGAGCCACTGGGCACGTGGCCGGAGCGGTGGGGTGGGGGGAGCTGGGGAGCTGCTCTCGGCCCCGACCAAGCGGCCTCTGCCCCCCCCCCCCCCCACCTCCCCCGGGGGGGGCTGGGGCTCAGCGGGGCCAGGGGGCGGCCGGGGTTCCTCCCCAGTGCCTTGGTGCGGTCCAGACCTGCCTGGAGCTCACGCCCGTGGCTTTCGAGTTGTTTTCTGAGCTGTGACACTGCAAACCCCCCCGGCCTTTCCTCTGCTCCCCTACCCCGGCAAGCGCTCCCCCAAACCTGGGGGCAGCGTGTCCCGCTCGGAGGCGAGCCGAGGGCTGCTGGCTCCCCTTCCCGTCCCCCTTCTGCTTTTAAGGCAGCTTCCCCCGCGCCGCGGGCAGAGCCCAGGGAGGAACACGCACACGTGGGCTCTGCCAGAGGCACCTGGGGCCGTGCTGGTGGCCCCCCCCCCCCCCCACCAGCCCCGTAGCACCAGGCCCCAGCAGAAGCCGGGCCCCACTCCCGGCTGCTCCCCAGCGCCCGAGGACAGGGGCTTTCTGGTCCTCTGCTCCCCCAGCCCCAGCGCGGCTCTCCCCGGGCCGATGCTCTACCTCGGCCCCACAGCAGCCGGGCCCCTGCCCCCGGCTCGCTCTGCGCCTCTCCCCCCTGCCCGGCCGGGGAGCGTGGGGGGGGGGGGGGGGGGGGCGTCGGTCTCGGGTGTGCGTGTGTGTCCGTGTTGCACCCGGCCCCGAGGGGCCGCTGTACGGGGATGCTCTGCCCGCCGGGCTCTGTACATACTGTAAAAAGCAATTGTTTGAAAGCTGTTGTTTTGGGTTTTGTTTTCTTTCCCCGTTTCCCCCACCGCCCCCCTTCCCCACCGCCCCCCCCCCCCCATCCCACTTTACCCAGTTTGAAAGGAGGGTGCTCCCTGCTCTCGGCCCTGGCTGCGCGGGGGCCCCAGCCTGCTCTTGTTGTTCGCCTCATTCTGCTTCCACTCTGCGTTGTCTTTGCAAGGAGATGGGGCCGCGCGGCCCGGCACGCTCCTCGGGGACAGGGTAGGCGATGCCGAGGGGCACCCCACCCCACGCAGCCTCTGGGCTGGGGGGAGCCCCACAGCCCACCCGTGGCGGAGCATCCCAGCTCCCCGCACAGCCAGGGCCCACCAGTGGCTCCAGGGGTGGGGGGTGGGGGGGGTGCCCCAGGCTTTGCTGGCAGTTGAAGGGGGGTCAGGGGGGGCTGCTCCCCACCTTCCCACTTGGGTCCCAGTTGCGTCTCCCTTTAGGTGTTTAAATGAAACAACGGTTTATGCAGAATAGGTTTGAGGTTTGATGTTTTCCGGGTTTTCCTGGTCAGTTCTCGCCCAGTGGGGCTGGCACCCCGGCCCCCCCCCCCCCCAGCGGTGCTGCTCCCTTGCCCGTGGGGTCTCCCCAGCCCCACAGGGCCCCGCGGGCGGCCGGCCAGGGTGTCAAACCGTTGGTGTTTATAGCTCTTGTTTCCATTGACGTTGCTGTGTTGGGTTTCATTTCAGTCTTCCTGATTCTGCCCTTCTGTAAAGTGTACATTATTACCAAGTTCCTTGTTTTTTTATATATATATATATAAATATATATATATACAAACTGTACTCTTCTTGCCTTTGTACATTTGGGCAAGGAGAGAGAATAAATCTTTTTAAGAGACAATCACAAACCTGTGAGGGTGGCTTTTTCTTCCTGCTCCCCTGCATTCTGGTCCTTTGTCCCTGGAAGCTGTGGCCAGTGATTTTGGGGGGGGGGGGGTGGGGGTGGGGAAGAGGGGTCTCCCCCCATCCCTGGGACACCGCTGAGAGCTGAAGCAGCCGTGCTGCTCCTCCTGATGCCAAGCTCGTCAGGCTGCGGCCACCGAGGCTGCGTCCTGTCCCCCAGCACCGACCCCTGGGCTCTGCCACCTGGGCGTGCTGCAGCCAAGCTCAGCCCTGACAATTCCGGCTGGAACACCCACCCCACCCCCCCCCACCCCCGGCCTTGAACCCCCGGGGAAGCAGCCAGGGCCAGCTGCCCCCCAGCAGGCAAGCCCGTCCCTGGGGGGAGGCAGCTGGGGCCGGCGTGGCGCTGGGCAGAGCTTGGCTCCTCCAGCTTTGCAGCAGAGGTGACCTGCGCAGGAGGCAGCACCCAAAGAAATCAGAAAGCGCCTGTTAGATTTTTAATTTTTTTTTTTTTTCGGGGCGGGGGATTTCTGAAGATACTCAGTGGTCCAAGACCTCTGCCGCCTTTGACCGCACTGGCTTGAGCCAGGGCAAGTATTTGGTACTTTACAGAGCCAGCAGGCGCTTCTAGCGCAGCCTTGCACCTGCAGAGATCAGATCATCCCCAGTCCGAGCTCCCACGAGGAGAACCTTGCACCTCACCAGTAAATTTTACCAGCATGGAAGGACCAAAGTGGTTCCCAGCCCCTCCCCTTAGGAATGTGCAGGCAGAGGAGCACCAGGGGGTGGCAGCAGGGCCTCTGGAACACACAGAAACCCCCCCCCGGGAAGAAGTGGGGGCAGCTCCAGCTACCCAAAGGGCTAAAACTTGGCCTGTCAAAAGCCAGAACTAGAAACTGGAGTTGTTTCAGCTGGGGAATAAATAGGTGTGTAAGGTCTCCTCTGTCCCCACACGACACCTGGCGCAGGGACAGGCAGGGCCACAGCCAGCGCTAGAGGGGCTGAGGGCCCCCCACTAAAAGCTGGGGCAGGGATGTTCCCATGGGCACAGCACAGCCTCCCCTTTTAAACCAGGCTTAGGATTTAATGCCCCACTGAAGAGGGAACAGAGCCGCCAGCCTTTTAATTTCACTGGAGGGGAAGGAGGGAAAAAGAAACACAAACTTTAACAGTATTTATTCACACAAACTTGTATCCCAGCCCCCCACCTCTCTTCCCCAAAGAGAAAACACCGACCGTGACGTTTATGGAATGGCTTAGCTTCAGCTTTTAACAGAATCCTCCACAGAAGGGCGAGAGCACAACAAAGCGCACAAGGACAATTCCACACGCAAGCAGCCAGGCCAGGCAGAGAGCTGACGGCACGCCCCGGGGGCCGAGGTTATAAACACACACCCCCCCCCCCCCCCCCCCACGGGTGGCCTTTCCCCAAAAACCAGCCAGGTTACAACCACGCAGCACGAAGACAAGAGCACAACCTCATTCTCCAACATTAGAAGGGGCAGGGTGGAAACGGGAGTTACCCCCGGCCCCGTGGGGGAACAGCCCACGGCAGAGCCCCGCCCCCCGCCCGCCCCCCCGCGACCCCCTTTGGTTTAGGATAAAGCCGGTAGCTCCGTGCCAAGCCTGGAGCTCAGCTCTTTGGAAAGGTGAGGGAGGAGGAACAGAGGGGACAGCCGCGGGCCTGGCTCTGCACCCCCCTCGGGCGGAGGATAAAGGCTTTTGACTCTTTGGACCATCAGAACCAGCTCACGGCCCACGCGGGTAAGGAAACATTCCCCCGGGGCGGAGGCGCTGCTCCAAGCACTCACTCGACCCTCCGACACCATCGCAGCCCCCCCCCCCCCGGGAGGCCCACCAGAGGCTCTGTTCCTTTCAAATAAGCAGCCCCAGCTGTGTGAAGTTCATCTGAATGCCCCTTTTTATTGAATGCTGTGATAGTGCAGTGGTAACATTGAACAGAGTTAAGACTGCTTAAAACAAAAGCTGGAAGAGCAAGAAGTTTAAAAAGGAGGAAAGGGGGGGGGGAGGAAAAAAAAAAAAAAAAAAAGGTTAGACCAGTTAAAACAGCATCGGTCACCCCAAAGCAGAGACGCAGGGGGGTTTAATGTAGTGTTAAAGGTTACACTCGAGCATGTTTCCTCCACGTGCCTAACACCCAAAACATCCCTTCTACTTAAGAGGCTTGAGTGAAAAATAAAAAGGTCGTCTGTCAGATGAGTGCACAGGCGGGTGATGGGGAAAGGACCAACACAGGTTTAGAGAAGGAGTTGATACTGCATCTACTGCTGTGCTCCCCCACGCACGGCCTGGGCACCGGGCGCCCCTAGGCTAACACACCACACAGCTGCACGCAAAGAGCTCCTATGCCAGTTCAGAAACATCTTCCATTTACTATTTGGTGATTACATGTGTGTATATATAGTTCTCTAGGCAACACGTTTCAATGAGATAAGTCAACTCTGAGGATACACGGGCCAATCTAACAATGAGAAATGCAGTTTCAGTCCAACAGAAGCTTGTTTTCCCTTTCCTCAAGAAAGGAGATGTAACCCTCTCTCCCCTCAACAGCATTTTCAGGTCACACAGGAGTCCCCCGCTGCAGCTATTCTTCATCAGAGGAAGAGTTCTGATCCAGGGGGTACACCATGAACATCACATCTGGCCGCGACGGGACAGAGGGGTGACCAGGCCTCACGATTTCAAAGCCCAAGAAGCTGAACGTCTTCAGGAGCGGAGCTACCAAAGAGAAGGAAATCTGTTACCACCAGGAATAATCCTCTTTACCTGTGTCACCCCAGAAGCCACAAATACCAAAGTGCACTGAACACCCTCTGTGGGTACATCCAGAGCTTCCTGTACAGAAAGAAACCGTTTTAACCCGACAGCCCTCTCGAGTAGGAGCTTTTGTCCCTTCCTGCATTCATCACAGCGGCTCCCAAGCACGGACTGGATTCTAGTTAAGCAGCAGAGCTGCTCTGTCCACGTTCGTCCCACGAGGTCTCTTCCACCCCCGCTGAGAAGCAGCAGTGGTTGGTCACCCGCCCGCACCAGCCGCACAGGCCTGTGGCCCGGGACGCGTGTGGCCGTCCCGCAACCCGGCAGAGATTTTATTCTGTAGCCTTGGTGGGTCTCCGCACCCTTCGAGGCCTGAAAGCGGGTCAGACAGCAGCCAACACGAATCTGGTTACTCGGGGTCTGTGAGACACTTGCTGTCTCCACGAGGAGGCCCTTGAGCTCGGTGGAAACTCACGAGGGCTCAGCACAGCTCGGTGCGGTCCCCCAGGCCAGGCGCCACAGGTTGTGCACAGAAATTCGGAGGCGAAGCCCCCGCCTGTCTCGGTCAGCCAGGGTTGTATCGCGCACGCTCGCCAGCTGCTAAAGCGACCCCTTCCCTGTGACCCCTGAAATTACCCTGGTGCAGTATCTAAACCTCGACAGCACCTGCCGATGACCAACTTCAAGCCACTGAACATGTAGAGAGAGGAGCTCCTACATATTTTCAAGACAACCCTGAATTGCAGCTGCATAGGCACGGACCTGGGGTCTGGAGGGCTCCAGAACTCGTACAAACCAGGCAGGTCCAAGAGCAACGCACGGCCCATTTTTAAAACCAAAAAGCTGTACGAGATGTCTCCCGTAACCAGCCACTGTGGAGGTCACCTATGCAACCCGTGGGGTGCTGACATCACAGCAAGAACTTAATCGGAAAATTCTTCTTGGCATCCTAACACGGAGCGACATCTTCCTGGGCTGAGCACAGCTTAGCTCTAGTGACGTGCCTCGTTTCAGAGAAGACGGTGCAGCTTGAGAAGCAGCAGAGTAAAATTAGAATTAAGGTTTGAATTACTCCTGCCGTGGCCTGCGGCTAGTAAGATTTAAAGTGACACATCCACAGCGTGGTACCTCACCACACATCTCCTCCGCCTTCCGTGCTGTAGCCAGTCATCCCACACGTCTATCTTTAGATGCTAACGCAGCCCCCTTAAGCCGCAAGCATCTATAGCCAGGGTCAGGATTACCTGTAAGTCTAGGAAGGGCAGCGGTGCCAGGAGATCTTTAAAAAGCAGATGAACATCGGGGCAACAAGCTCTAAGTGTTCATTTCCCTTATAACAACTTCTCCCTGGTTTCTCC